ACAGCATGCTCTAATCGCTCTAATAGGATATTATGGTCAACAGTACGAACGCTGCACTAAGGCCTAGCAGACAAGCACAGAGATGAGTCCACTGTCAGAGGCCATAAGAAGATCATTGTAAACCTTCACTAAAGCTGTTTTGTGCTGTGATAAGCTCTGAAACCTGACTGAAACTCTCAAATAAACCATTCCTCTGCAGATGATCTGTTAGCTGTTTGACAACTACTCTTTAAGGATTTGATATGAAAGGGAAGGTTGGAGATTGGCCTATAATTAGCTAAGACTGCTGGGTCTAGAGATGGCTTTTTGAGTAAAGGTTTAACTACAGCCAGCTTGAAGGCCTGTGGTACATAGCCGATTATTAGAGATAGGTTGATCATATTTAAGATTGAAGCATTAATTAATGGCAGGACTTCTTTGAGCAGTTTGTAGGAATGGGTCTAAAGACACGGAGGTTGGAGGAAATAATTATAGAAGTTAACTCAGAAAGATCAATTGGAGAAAAGAGTAACTTAACATCAACGGTACTAAAGTAGCTGTAGATAATACTACATCTGTGGGATGATTATTGGTAATTTTTTCTCTAATGATAAGAATTTTATTTGTGAAGAAGTTCATGAAGTCATTACTAGTTAACGATGGTTGCTCAAAAGTGCTCTGATTGTTTGTCAGCCTGGCTACATGCTGAAGAGAAACCTGGGGTTGTTCTTATTTCTTCAATCAGTGATGAATAGTAAGATGTTCTGGCTTTGGGGGGGCTTTCTTATAAATCAGCAAAATATTTCTCCAATTATGATGATCTCTAAATTTGTGACACGCCATTTCCTCTCCAGATTACGAGTCATCTGCTTTAGGTACGTGTTTGAGAATTATACCACAGAGTCAGGTACTTCTGATCTGAAACCTTAGTTTTCACAGGAGCTACAGTATCCAGAGTCAGATGAAGTGAGGAGGTAAATTATTATTAACAGATAATTGACCTCTGTTGGGGTAGCGTTCAGATAGCTGCTCTGCTCTGTGTTGGTACAGTCATTGAAGATGATAACAGTGGGTGGATTACATTCTTAAACTAGTTACAGCGCTTTCAGAAAGACATCTGTGATAAAGTCTACTCTCCACTGCTGTGTAATCAATTATTGTAAATGTAAATGTTATCAGGAAATGATCAGACAGGAGAGGGTTTCAGGAAACACTGTTAAATGTTCAGTTTCTATGCCATATGTTAAAAACAAGATCTAGAGTGTGATTAAAGTGGTGGTGGGTTCTTTACATTTTGAGAGAAGCCAATTGAGTCTAATAACAGATTAAATGCCATGTTGAGGCTGTCATTTCTAGCATCTACATGGATGTTAAAATCACCCACAATAATTATTTTATTTGAGCTGAGCACTAAATCAGATAAAAAGTCTGAGAAATCCAGAGAGAACTCTGTGTAAGGCCCAGGTGGACATAGATGATAACAAATAAGACTGGTTTCTAAAATTTTTCAGCTGGGGTGGACAATGTTAAGCATCAGGCTTCAATGAATTAAAAGTCTTCTTGGTCTTTCATTAATTAATAGGCTGTGTGAAAAATTGCTGCCACACCGCCCCTCGGCCTGTGCTTCGAGTTTCTGGTAGTAGATGACTCGGGGGTGTTGATTCATTTAAACTAACATAATCATCCTGCTGCAACCAGGTTTCTGTAAGGCAAATCGATTGTTCTTTCTTTGTAATTGTTTATGTTAGTTGTTGTTGCTGGTTTTATTTGTTTTTTGTCTGTTTTGGACTGACACAGTTCAAAGGAGATGTTTTTTTTTGGGGGGGGGGGGGGGGGGGGTAAACAGGAGAAGAGAAGCTGCAGAGAGGCGTGTAAACTGCAACTCTGCTTCCTGGTCCCAACTCTGGATAGTCATATTGGGGGTTAATTAATTTGTCCATATTTCTAGAAATGAGAGCTGCTCCATCCAAAGTGGATGGATGCCGTCTCCTCCTACAAGACCAGTTTCCCTTCAGAAGGTTGCCAATTATCTATGAAGCCCACATCGTTTCTGGACACCACTCAGACAGCCAGCAATTTAAGGAGAACATGCGGCTAAACATGTCACTCCTGGTTGATTGGGAGGGACCAGAAAAACTACAGAGTCCGACATTGTTGGCAAAGTTACACACCGATTCAATATTGATTAGTGACCTCCGATTGCGTAACCGGGTGTCATTACTGCCGACGTGAATTATGATTACTGAATTTACGTTACCCTTAGCCAGCAGTTTAAATTTCCTTCAATGCGCCTGCTCTGGCCCCTGGAAACAATGACTATGGTTGCCGGGTCTCTAGCTCACATGTCTGAGAACAGAATTACCAGAGTTGACCCCGACGGGTGTGTCGCCGAGTGGGGAAAACGGTTAGACATATGTATGAATTGAGGATGGAACCAAATGCAGACACAAGGAACGTGAAAGAAAATTGAATATTAACAGAAAGCAAGCCGTTTATTAATCTCTACTTTAAGATTAGCTTCAAACTTTCCTTTTGCTAAAGCATATAGTTAGGGCTGGATCAGATGACCCTGGATCCTCCCTTAGTGTGCTGCAGTAGATGTAGGCTGCCGGGGATTCCCATGAAGCACTGAGTTTTTCCTTTCCATCACCTTCTCACTCACTGTGTGTTAATAGACCTCTCTGCACTGAATCATACTTGTTATAATCCACAGCATGTCTTGTCCTGTCTTCCTTTCTCACCCCAACTAGTCACAGCAGATGCCCGCCGCTCCTGAGCCTGGTTCTGCCAGAGGTTTCTCCGTTAAAAGGGAGTTTTTCCTTCCCACTGTCGCCAAAGCGCTTGCTCATAGTGTCCTATGATTGTTGGTTTTTCCTCTGTATCTATATGTGCGATCTACGTACAATATAAAGCGCCTTCAGGCGATTTGTTGGATTTGGCGCTATATAAATAAAATTTAATTTAATTAAAAGATTACAAAACAGAAGGCAGAGGTGAAGATAAACAATAACCTAACCTGGGGAAAATATTTTTTATTAAAAAAAAAAAACAAAAAAACCATGAAACCTGACATGGATACAAAGATACCTGGAACATGGAAACGTGGCACCAAAGACAACAGATGACCTGACACTGAACAAATTAGGACAGGACTTACAGTGGCTTGCAAAAGTATTCGCCCCTTTACTTCCCACATTTTTCACATTACAGCCACAAACATGAATCAATTTATTGGAATTCCACGTGAAAGACCAATACAAAGTGGTGTACACGTGAGAAGTGGAACAAAATCATACATGATTCCAAACATTTTTTACAAATAAATAACTGAAAAGTGGGGTGTGCGCATTATTCAGCCCCCTGATCAATACTTGTAGAACCACCTTTGCTGCAATTGGATTCCATTAAATTGATTTGTTCACGGCTGGGAAGGCGAGCCGTGTGGTGGAGGAAGGAGGACCCGAGATGCAAGCAGTGGAAAAATGCTAGTGAAGTTTATTTACAAGGTGTAGTGGCAAACAAGCATGGGGCATGACAAATAACTGAAGACACCTAAACTGGGAAGAACTAAAATAACAGACCTGGAGCATACGACAAAGGCTGAGAGGCCGAGACGACGACCAGCAGGACACCGAGTAACACAGACTGACACGGAGGAACACAGACAAACCGCAACAGGCAGGAGAACACACAGGCTTAAATACACACACCAGTAATCAGGGGATGAGAGACAGGAGGCAACACGGCTGGAGGAATCAGAGCTGACGGGACAGGGAAACGTAAAGTGAACACACTCACATCAGACAGAGACCTTCACAATAAAACAGGAAACTCAGACACGGGAACAAACAAGACAAGAACAAACAACAGATCACAACATACGGGGTGACACCATAGACAGAGACACAGACTCAGAGGCAGACCAAATATAAGACATAGAACTCAAACAATAATAATAATCATCATCATAATAATAATAAACTAGAAAATGATAATAACTAAAAGCGCTAGGTCACCGACCCAGGACCATGACAATTTGTGTTTGTGGCAGTATGTGACAAATGTGGAAAAGAGGGACGAATACTTTGCAAGCCACTGTAAGTACACAGAGAGATAATGAGGGGATGAGAACAGCTGGGACAAGGGGAAACAAAACTAGACTCATTGCATATAGGACAAGGACTTTCCCAATAAAACAGACACACAAGGGTAATCTAATAAACAAATGAACTTAGCAAACCTAAAGAACTTATAAACAAACATCGACATCCAAACAAACTAAAACTTAAAACGCTGGGTCAACAGACCCAGGAAAGTGACAGTAAAATCATTTATTATATACATTATACTATTTTCTTAAATTGCTTATCTATTATCTGTATTTTAACTTGGGGGTCTAGGGGTGCTGCATGTTTATGATAACACACTGACAATATCAGGACAATTTTGGCCTTACTCTCAGTGAACAGCATGCCCATGCTAACTTAAACTAGACCAGCAAGCTAACCACATGTGTATTAAGTGTTACTTAAGAATAGAACCAAACAAATTAACGGAACGAAATTAACTGTAACAGCAGTTTGCAAAACATTGTGACAGTTCTCAAGTGTTCCTACCTCAAATCCAGCACGTGTTGCTGGTTTTTGTTGTTAAATGGACGAGGAGAGACCGTGGCTGGTGAGAGGATGCAGCATTTCGTCAGTGGAGCATAGAACGACGTCTCTGATTGGTCAACAAGTGAGTAAAGATGCATCTGATTGTTCGAAAGCCTCAACCAAAGAGCTGCTGGTCACGGCAAGATACAAACTCGCCGGAGCTCTGCGTGAACGGCACATCCGGGACCTTCAGCACTCAGGAGAGATTTATCTTGACGTATGTATTACCTTTGATATCCATGATTTCACGCACGCTTCGAGGTAAAGTTGTATGTTTAACAAGCTAATTAATGTTAGCTAAATGGATGGAAACAACACACAATCGATTTGAATAAAGTTAAAATGGTGCATGATGATAAATGGTAATAAATATACTTTAGCTTTATCTTCAGCAACAGATATTAGAAGTTAAATTTAGTTGTTTTTAAATTTCCACTGGAGTTAAAGGGCCTGCGGCCCTCTCTGCATCTGCAACTGCAGAGACAGTCAGTCTAAGCTCTTTTTAAGTGTAGGCTACTGCAACACGCATTTATTTCAAGATATGTTTTCTGGGATTTAAATGATAATATTAATGTTTTCCTGTTTAGCACAAATCAATGACATTAGTGTTTCAGTAATGGTAGTAAAGTGCACAGTTTACAGTATTGTCCGTGTATTGGCATGTTAAATTATTCGTGAAGGTAATTTATGTCACATTACATTTGCAAAGTGTTTGCACTGGTATATTAGTCTGATTAGCAAATGCATTGTGATTTAAGGCAGAAAAATACTATTTAAAATACCATGTAAAGAAAGTACTGGTGGTTTGTCTTGCTGACTTTTCGTCATTTTCTCATGAAGATGTGTACAGGTTGAGCAGATTGAGAGTGAAGAACATGTCAAAAAGAAGACTCAGACTTCGTCCTGAAGCAGAGGCTGCTCACTTTATTTTATCTGGAAGTGACAAGACTTGTTTAAAGGCCCAATGGATCAATGACTATAAAGGTATGTTATATGTTGTTCCTTATGGCTACTGCATGAATATACCAGAGCTGCAACTAATGTTTATTATAATATTTATAATATTGTCATGGCCCTGCGACCATGACTCGGTGACTTTGTGTTTATGTTCTTTATTGTTATTACTTTCATTATTATTCATGGCTGTTTTGGGATGGTTTGTGTTTGGGATTTTAGACACTGGGTTCTGGGTTTGTGCTCCCTCTGTTGGTCCCTGGTGTTAGTGTTCCCCTGTCTCATCAGGTTAATCAGGTCCAGCTGTGTCTCCCACCTGTGTGTGACTTCCCAGTGTCTCTCTGTGTATTTATAGTGTGTGTTTGCCTCTGTTCCTCGTCGCGTCGTCTGTGTTCATACCTGGTGTAATCCTCTGCGTGCTCTCCCTGCTGTTCTCCCTTCATGTTCAGGTTTCCCACTCCTCTGTGTAGTTTATCCCAGTTTAGTTTCGTCCTTAGTTCTGTTTGCCATCTCCACTTTGTGTTTGATATTATCAATAAATCACCCTCACACCTGAATAAGTGCTGCGTTTTGGGTCCTCCTTCCACTCTCCACACGGCCGCTGCCCCGGACCGTGACAAATATATAACAATTGCTTCAGTTTCCCTGAGGGAACCTCCCAAAGCTAGCTAGCTATCTATCTATCATCTAGATTAAAAAATGTTTTATATTTTCATGTATTTGAAATTTGTTGCCAACTATTTTAATAATTGTTTTTTTATTATTAGCATTTATTTATTGTATCAACTCATTTGTTGCAGCCCTGAACGTAAGCATCTAGATCAGGGGTGCCCAATCCCGGTCCTCGAGAGCTGTGTGGAACAAGGATGCATCTAAAAGCTGCAGGACAGTAGCTCTCGAGGACCGGGATTGGGCACCCCTGATCTAGATGTTCCCCTCACAATTAAAACATTTTGTGATTGTTTGTTCTGCATATGTTTTGTCAGTGGCTGATCAGCTGCAGTAAACCTGATTTGGATTGTATTACTTAACGCTACTTATTGAACATCTTGTATTAGGACGTGGTGTATTTGCCTCTGAACCAATTGAAAAGGGATCCTTTGTGGTCGAGTACCGTGGGGAGCTTATCTCAGAACATGAACGGGACAAGCGGCAGAAAAAGTACACAGAAAAGCAAACTGCTTTCCTATTTGATTTTAAATGGAAAAATAGCACATGGTGGTAAGTAAAGGCATATACAATATCAGTTGTCTTTACAACATTATGTTTTTAGTGAACAAAACATATGTTCTTTTCTTCACTTTTAGCATTGATGCCTCCCGTGAAGACGACTCACTTGGCCGGCTGGTTAATGATGACCACAAGTACCCAAACTGCAAGATGAAACAGCTGGCAGTCCAGGATAAACCTCATCTCTGCTTGTTTGCTATTGAAAATATCCAAGCGGAGAGTGAAATCACCTATGACTATGGAGAATCTATGTGGCCATGGCGAGCTCTGGTAAGTAAATCCTCTTCATAGATTGTGCAGTACAGGGAATGTTAAATATTAGTAGATGAAAAGATAGATATTATTCTAGTTATGAAGACCAGAGTAGATCAGTGCAGGGTTTTATTGACAAAATTTGATATTTTTGTCCTTTTACACATGTTTTGTCCATTTAACCTGAAGCTGATCAGTTTACATGATTGGATTTCTGGGGAAATAGATGGCTTTACATCAGTGTTGGGTTTAGAGCTTTTATTGCCAACAGCAGGACAAGTTAGAAGTCAGGAACATGAACTCTACATGTGTTCAGTCGTCATGTCCTCATATTGTTTCAAGCTGTGAAGAACATGAGTGTGTTTCAGAATATATATATCTTTGCAGCAGTTACGATAATAATGTGCTGTTTGCACGATGAGCACTGCTGCTCTTTCTCAGCAAGAGCCTCCCCGAAATTGACCGTGCGCTTTGTGTTGTCCGTGCGCGCGTCTGTGCATTTCGTGGCGTCTGTGCAGAAATGACTCGCAAGACAAGGCTGCAAACTATTCTCACAGACTTCAAATGTGCACTTGAATCCAAGAAGATAGAAAAGGATCTCTCTCTGTCTCTCCCCCAGCTCTGCTGACTTGCCACTGAGAGAGTAACAACTGCCCCTCCCCCTCTGCTCTGCAAACAGGTGGCTGTTTTTGCACCCCTCCCCCTCTGCTCTGCAAACACGTGGCTGCTTTTGCACCCCTCCACTCACTTGCTCAGAGCCAGTGTGTGCAAAGTGGAGCAACATAACACTGACAGAGGTTCAGAGAAGGGAAAAAAAACAAAAAACGGAGCAGGCTGCCGTTGTTCACTTCAAGAAGGCGGCTCTATAGGCTGTTTTGTTTGCGACCGACACACAGTATAAATATATTCTCAATCACATTCACACCACTCTGTTATATCAGTTCCACTACATCAAGACTATTTTATGGTGGTGAGCTGTTTTATTGTCATGTATTTTGCATAGTAAGTTAACCATGTCCTGCATTCAAAACCACTGAAAATGTCTATGGTGGTGCTGTACCTAATATTTTGCTCATTTGATCCAAAACCTATTTTTCCTTTATTTTGAAGGCTGAGGCTTAGATCCATTAGGTATTCACGAGAAAGGCATCATCACATGTCAGGATTACAGTATATCGAAAATATGTGATTATAATGGGAGTCAATGGGACCCAAAATGGTACGAGGAACACAGGAGGTAACACTTATGTGAATCTCCTTTGCTATATACCACACCATAGAGGGGATCATTGAATTTTAAAAATAATCCTAAAATGCACCTCATGGCCAAGTTTCATGCAACTAGTCTTTAAAATGATTGATATATTGAGAATCAAAAATCCAAAGGGTCCCTATTTTGACTTAAACCCTGCGAGGGTTTTAAAGCATCAATTTGGTCTTTATTCCAATTAAATTTAATATTTTTGTCCTTTTACGCATGTTTTTGTCCATTTAACCTGAAGCTGATCAGTTTACATGATTGGATTTCTGGGGAAATAGATGGCTTTACATCAGTGTTGGGTTTAGAGCTTTTATTGACAACAGCAGGACAAGTTGGAAGTCAGGAACATGAACTCTACATGTGTTCAGTCGTCATGTCCTCATATTGTTTCAAGCTGTGAAGAACATGAGTGTGTTTCAGAATACGTCCTCATATGGTTGGACCAACAACTCTAGTGTGTGTGTGTTACACTGTCCTCATATTGTTGGGTAGCAGAACTGTACTGTGTTAAGTTTCTATAGAATCTGGCATAAGGAAGTCAGATCCTTCTGTAATAATGTTCACTGAAACAAGTATGATCTGTAGTTAATGAGCTAGTCAGCATTTGTAGTACAGAATGTTTCTGACATTATATTGTTGTCTTTTGTTGCAGACACCAAGTGTTGAGACCCTGTCCCAACCTCCTACAGACCAAGAAGTGAGTGACAAATCCACTTCATTCCTCCAACAGGTTACGCATAAATTTTTGTATTTGGAATCAAGTATATGAGTCAGTTGGGCCTAGTGCATAAATGAAATGCACTTTGATTGTATTAAAACAATCAGTTTGAGTGAAAGTTTCCCAAAATCAACATTGGCATTAGGAGAAGGAAATTGGCTATACCAGTTGTTAGTCCAAACTTTCCCTTTAAAGCATCAATTTGGTCTTTATTCCAATTAAATTTAATATTTTTGTCCTTTTACACGTTTTTGTCCATTTAACCTGAAGCTGATCAGTTTACATGATTGGATTTCTGGGGAAATAGATGGCTTTACATCAGTGTTGGGTTTAGAGCTTTTATTGACAACAGCAGGACAAGTTAGAAGTCAGGAACATGAACTCTACATGTGTTCAGTCGTCATGTCCTCATATTGTTTCAAGCTGTGAAGAACATGAGTGTGTTTCAGAATACGTCCTCATATGGTTGGACCAACAACTCTAGTGTGTGTGTGTTACACTGTCCTCATATTGTTGGGTAGCAGAACTGTACTGTGTTAAGTTTCTATAGAATCTGGCATAAGGAAGTCAGATCCTTCTGTAATAATGTTCACTGAAACAAGTATGATCTGTAGTTAATGAGCTAGTCAGCATTTGTAGTACAGAATGTTTCTGACATTATATTGTTGTCTTTTGTTGCAGACACCAAGTGTTGAGACCCTGTCCCAACCTCCTACAGACCAAGAAGTGAGTGACAAATCCACTTCATTCCTCCAACAGGTTACGCATAAATTTTTGTATTTGGAATCAAGTATATGAGTCAGTTGGGCCTAGTGCATAAATGAAATGCACTTTGATTGTATTAAAACAATCAGTTTGAGTGAAAGTTTCCCAAAATCAACATTAGCATTAGGAGAAGGAAATTGGCTATACCAGTTGTTAGTCCAAACTTTCCCTTTAAAGCATCAATTTGGTCTTTATTCCAATTAAATTTAATATTTTTGTCCTTTTACACATGTTTTTGTCCATTTAACCTGAAGCTGATCAGTTTACATGATTGGATTTCTGGGGAAATAGATGGCTTTACATCAGTGTTGGGTTTAGAGCTTTTATTGACAACAGCAGGACAAGTTAGAAGTCAGGAACATGAACTCTACATGTGTTCAGTCGTCATGTCCTCATATTGTTTCAAGCTGTGAAGAACATGAGTGTGTTTCAGAATACGTCCTCATATGGTTGGACCAACAACTCTAGTGTGTGTGTTACACTGTCCTCATATTGTTGGGTAGCAGAACTGTACTGTGTTAAGTTTCTATAGAATCTGGCATAAGGAAGTCAGATCCTTCTGTAATAATGTTCACTGAAACAAGTATGATCTGTAGTTAATGAGCTAGTCAGCATTTGTAGTACAGAATGTTTCTGACATTATATTGTTGTCTTTTGTTGCAGACACCAAGTGTTGAGACCCTGTCCCAACCTCCTACAGACCAAGAAGTGAGTGACAAATCCACTTCATTCCTCCAACAGGTTACGCATAAATTTTTGTATTTGGAATCAAGTATATGAGTCAGTTGGGCCTAGTGCATAAATGAAATGCACTTTGATTGTATTAAAACAATCAGTTTGAGTGAAAGTTTCCCAAAATCAACATTAGCATTAGGAGAAGGAAATTGGCTATACCAGTTGTTAGTCCAAACTTTCCCTTTAAAGCATCAATTTGGTCTTTATTCCAATTAAATTTAATATTTTTGTCCTTTTACGCATGTTTTTGTCCATTTAACCTGAAGCTGATCAGTTTACATGATTGGATTTCTGGGGAAATAGATGGCTTTACATCAGTGTTGGGTTTAGAGCTTTTATTGACAACAGCAGGACAAGTTGGAAGTCAGGAACATGAACTCTACATGTGTTCAGTCGTCATGTCCTCATATTGTTTCAAGCTGTGAAGAACATGAGTGTGTTTCAGAATACGTCCTCATATGGTTGGACCAACAACTCTAGTGTGTGTGTGTTACACTGTCCTCATATTGTTGGGTAGCAGAACTGTACTGTGTTAAGTTTCTATAGAATCTGGCATAAGGAACTCAGATCCTCCTGTCAATAATGTTCACTAATGTATCTGTGACATATATGTGAACTCAATGCAGCCTTTCATCTCAGCAAATATAATTAATGATTGACAGGGTTCACAAATTAATTTTCACCCAAGATTTTATGTCAAAATGACATGACACAAAGTGTGTGATATGTATGTTAAATCATTCTCACTATTAAGTTACAATGCATTGTTTTTCATTTCTTAACCTACTAGCAATGTTTTTTACAGTATACTGAATTGCATAATAATTTTGAGTTAGTTTTCAAATGAATTATAATTACAAACATTGAATTTGTTACGTTTCATGTAAGGCCAGACAAAAATCTCGAGTTCTCACCTTTCACCAGACAGCTACCTCAGAGCAGGTAAGCCAGCTGCCTTTTTCTTCTTCATTCAAATTGTTTATGCTATGTAATTATGCATATTTACTACATGAATGCATTTTCATCAAGTCATGGATTGCAGAATGTTCTGCTACTGGAGGGGGAATGACATTCTAGCTATTAATAAATACAAAGATGCTTTTTCTCCATTTTCGTTCAGATCTCTACTGATGAATTCTCAGATTGTACGGATTATGAAGATAAAGACTATTTCCCAGATTCATGTGGCAGTTCCTCTGACACAAGTCTCCATAGTGTGGACATGAAAATCACAGAATCTGTGGTTCCCCAAAATACGTTAAATGACATGGCATTGGAGACGGCTTCAGGACACAGTGGGAAGATCACCAGTTCAGAGAAACCTACAACATTTAATTTGTCACTGAGAAGTAGCAGTCACAGTACTTCGGTAACAAGCCGCAGTTTTGATTCATCAGGGGTCACATCACCTAAAAACAGCTCCATAAAAGTCCTACCTTTGCCAAACACGGAAAGACAAAGCAAGTACAACAAGAAGCAATACTGTCTATATTGTAAAAAGGCCATTGCTAAATTGGCAAGACACCTTGAATCTGCCCACGGTAATGTGCCGGAAGTTGCAAGCGCCTTCAGTTATGATAAAAGATCCTGCAAAAGAAGAGATTTGTTGCGCTCTATTAAGAAGAGGGGAAACTTTAACCATAATGCTACTGTGGCAACTTCTGGTGCTGGAGAAATGGTTGCTTGTCGAAGACCCACTACTGCAACAGGATCTGAGGACTACCGTCATTGTAAATTTTGTCAAGGACTATATGCAAGAAATTGCCTTTGGAGGCATGTGAGAAGGTGCCCTCAGAGGTTTAATGAGGAAGCTCCCTCTGGGCAAAGACGGATGCATCTGCAATTACCGAAACCTGATCAAGTTCATGAAGCTGTATGGAAGATTGCTTGTGAAATGAATCAGGATGACATTTCCTTTGTAGTAACGAGTGAAAGAGACATTCTTAGCCTTGGTGAGTCACTGTACAATGGCAGAAAACCAAATGAGAAAAGGAATGATTACATACGCCAAAAAATGAGAGAGATCGCAAGGTTATTGATAACCGCCAGAGCTATGACACCTTTGAAGAGCACAGAAGACCTTGTTATGCCTACTAACTTTCCCCATGTCATACAAGCAGTCAGAGCTGTTGCTGGTTATGAGCAGGAGAGCAACTCATATAAAACCCCATCCTTGGCTTTGAAATTGGGACACAGTTTGGCTAAAGTTGCAAGCATTGTGCAGTGTAAAGCCATCATTGCAAATCGCTATGATGTTGCAGAGTCAGCCAAGCAGTTTGCCACTCTGTATGAAAAAAAGTGGTCAGAGTCCATTTCAGCTGCTGCATTGGGCACACTTCAACAAGCCAAATGGAATAAACCACAGATTTTGCCATTTACACAGGATGTGTCACTGCTGCATACGTTTCTTGCTACCAAGTCCGCAATGTACATGAAGGACCTTGAGGAAAAACCCAACAGCACAACCTTCGGAAATCTTGCTCAAGTGACTTTGACGCAGGTAGTGCTATTTAACAGAAAAAGGCAAGGAGAAGTTTCAAAAATGGAGCTCCAGGTTTTTACATCCCGGAATCGCACAGAGTTGAATCCTGACATTATGATCGGCCTAACTGAGTTTGAAAGGAAACTTGCAAAGCACTTTGACAGAGTTGAGATTCGTGGTAAAAGATCAAGAATGGTACCTGTGCTTCTCACACCTGACATGATCACTGCAATGGAGCTCCTCGCAAAAGCCAGAAGTGAGTGTCAAGTCCACACAGAGAATGTGTACTTGTTTGCACGCCCAGGTGTCCTTTCCCATTACAGAGGCTCTGACTGCTTTCGCAAGTATGCAAATAAATGTGGTGCAAAGTACCCAGAGGCCCTTACCTCAACAAGATTGCGGAAACAAGTTGCCACTTTGTCCACAGTACTAAATCTAAAAGAAAATGAAATGGATCAACTTGCCACCTTTCTCGGACACGACATCCGTGTCCATCGAGAATTCTACCGGCTTCCAGAGAGTACCCTGCAGCTTGCAAAAGTCAGCAAACTGTTGATTGCAATGGAGAAAGGAAAACTGTCTGACCTGCAGGGGAAAGGGCTGGATGACATCGTGATCAATCCTGATGGTGAATTCTTTTTCTTTCTTTTTTTTTGAAACATAGTTATCTTTGAATATAACATTTGTGAATGTTCAGCAGATTCTAATATAAATATTTTGTCTTGATTATTTTTCCCCAACAAGATGAAGCAGTTACAAGTGATGATGATTCCAGTGGAGAAACCATCACTGACCCTCAACAACACAAAGGTATCTTGACTTGCCCAGTGTGTGATAATATCTTTAAGTTATGAGACTGGAGACAGTTAATAGGTTCATGTCATGTTAGATGGGCTTAAGGGACAGCAGTATATAAATTAGACAGAATGGCAGACACCATTCATTAATATGGTACTAAAAGATCTGGATACATTGAAGTCTGGCAAAATGCATAAATAAGCAATACAAAGGCAAATATTAAATATAAGGATTAGGAGGTCCACTTCTGTGAGATTAGGCACACAAGTTGAGAGGTAGTGCATGCAAGTAATGTGTTTCTAGGGAGATGCCTGAGTATTGATGAGTATTATTAGTAGATTATGTTCACATGTAAAATATTCATATCAAATGTAAAATTACACACTGCCCAATGCTGACTTTGCCTACAATGCAAACAAAAAATGCATTAATTCTCATATTTCACTGTTACTTTTCAAAGGCTCAAGGACCAAGAATTCTGGGAACCAAAGCCACACACTTTACTCAGCTTCCCTGGACAATATGGAGGGCGCTTCTGCCTCAACCACCCTGGACAATATGGAGGGCGCTTCTGCCTCAACCACCCTGGACAATATGGAGGGCGCTTCTGCCTCAACCACCCTGGACAATATGGAGGGCGCATCTGCCTCAACCACCCTGGACAACATGGAGGGCGCTTCTGCCTCAACCACCCTGGACAATATGGAGGGCGCTTCTGCCTCAACCACCCTGGACAGCAAAAACATCAGCAACACTGCACCAGGAAAGGGTAAAGGTACCCATATACAAAATGTTTTAAGTGAATATACTTGTTATCAATGGACATGTTTATTCTTTTCAGGCATGACACTATTAAGAGCTTTTATCATAATCCGTTTCATCTTCTTTGATTCCCAGCAGAACACAGCACTTCAAATGGTTCATCCCAAGCATCCTTGAAGGAGCATTAAGCAATATCTTTTCACTGCTAGGTGTGCTGTTTTGCACTGCCTGTAAACCAAACCAAAGTCTATGGCTGGAGATCAACACAGAGAGAGGGATTGTGACTTCATGCTGTACTCCAGATGAAATTACACCTCTAATTATTCACATAGCCATTTTTAATTCCTTCAACCTAAGTATGATGAATTGTGCTTATTGCTCCTTTAAAGTGCTCCAGTAGAAAGCAAGGTTTAAGAACATTTTGTATTCACATTAGAAACTAGAATATTTTCTCTCTTATCTTACATTCGCATTAAGATATATATTTTTTTGTTTCCATTTATGACAGCTGGGAAGGCAAGGTGCAAGTGGACAGATGATGAAGTAAAGGCTGTTGAGCGGCACTTACTTCATTTCATAACAAGCTGCAAAGTACCTGGCAAAAAGGAATGTGACTCCTGCATCCAAGCAGAGCCGGCAGCTCTGAAAGGCAGAGACTGGGTTGCCATAAAGTATTACATCCACAACAGGATCGTAGCATTGAAAAGAAAGATGAATAAATAAAATTACAAAATGCAGGTTCAGGAATGCTGCATCAGTTAAAATTAACTTGATTTTCATTTTTATTTTTTTTTAATTTTTGACTTTGTCTGTTGGGTTAGTAATGACTAAGTTACTCAGTCCTTTCTCCTGGTTTTTGCCATCATAAGTTAATACTCAAGGGAGATAGTTTGTTACTCTCAGTTATTTCAGTATTGCAGGTCACTCACAGTTATTTCAGTATTACAGGTCTCTGCATTGCATTGTTTATACCCATAAATCTGTTTATTATGGGTGCATTTTGTAATTAAAAAATAAGAAAGGCAGAAAATGTTCCATGTTTTTATTCACATAAACATTCACTGCAAAATTAATGCAATACAATATTAAGACTTAAAAAGTAGACTGACCACATTTTTGAGCTATGTCTCTTTTTAAGTCTCTATACAGCTCAGATTTACTGTGTTGTATTAACACATGAATGTCTGATATTTCTGTCAGAAGTTACCCGACTGGTGAGCATTACTATTGTGCATCCATGCCTATTATATTGTAATCTCAAAAGGAGCCAAGCTGAAAATACAGACCCTACCCTTACCTGGTCCTTATAAGTCATGTATACTTGAAAATTATGTGTGTATCCATGGGCTTCACAATTCACCTAAACATGAAATATCAGTGTGTGTGACCTTATGGTACTCATAAGTCACATAAACCTGACAGTGTCCTCATAAGTAGCAGTAAATTCAGGTTTGACCAAAATTTAACCCTAGCCAAAATCTCAACAGATGGGCGTGTTCCTGGAAGCATGGGTCAAATTTTTTGTGATTCCCATGCCTCTAGGACCTTCAGAAAGGCACGTTCCCATTTGTCACATTTTTGTCATAGGTACTGATATATCATGAAAACACGTATGTGTGTGTGTGTGTGTGTGTGTGTGTGTGTGTGTGTGTGTGTGATTTATGAATGAAATTGTGAAAAATGGCCTCCGTTTATTATATGAGCGAGTTCTAATGTGGCGCATGCGTTTCGAGCTTTAGAGCTCTTTTTTTTTACCTGATGAGCACGTGCAGCGTCGGCACCCCGGGGAGTAAGGGCGCGTGCACACACCAGCAGGAAGCTTCAGCGGACAATATGCACATATTCAATCGCGCGCCATCTGCTTATCGATCAGACCTCCCCCTCCTCAGACACACGCGCGCCACGCGCTTCGCCTCCTCCAAATGAGTATGTGCGCGTGCCCCTGCGCACGGGAGCGACAGGTTGATGCAGGTGAGCCTCAGTTGCTGCTTTTGTTTTGTTCAAAGCTTTATTGATCAGGTGAAACGCCGCGGACTGCGTCACAGCATCGCAGGTAAAGCTTCGTTTACATTGAGCGAAAGTCAGAGGTTAAAGGTCAGCAGGTTTCCTCGTGTGTCTGTGTCTCTGAAGTGAGGAAGAGGAGGCCCAGTGCTCCATCAGCCCGAGCTCTGCTCCTCCTCCTGAGGAGGTTTTACTGCCGCCGGAAGGACCTGAAAGGCTTCACACCTCCATCGCCTCCTTTTGTCCTCCAACACGTGCCCAAATGGCCCGACGAGAGGCGGCACGAGCTTTTGTTCAGGTGAGACGACACATGGCGTGTGCCGCCCGCGAGGAGGATAAAGGAGGTGTCTGGGGGGAGGCAGGCCGTGGGAAAGTCTCAGGTGTGAACAGCTTGGTGCGTTCACAAAAGTGAGCGAGGCGTCAACTCTGACACCTGAGCAGACATGCGCAGATAAACAAACGCTCTGCATCAGGAGGAGGGGGCGTAGTCTGGAGGGTCCTGAAGGAGCAGGCAGGTAAATGACAGAGCAGGTGAAGTCTCACCTGTGAATCAGGGACTGTGTTAGCCCCGCCCACACGAACAAAGTTAATTTTATATTTTTTATATTTTCTTCTATTTTTAAAAGAGTTTTTTCTTTTTTTCTTATTTTTAGACTCAAAATTTTCATTTAATTTTCTTACTTTAAATATTTCTCCTGTTTTTTTGTTTTTAACTGTCATTTAAATTATTATCTCCTTTCTTTTATTTTACTTTTTATAATTTACTTGAGCGCTTGTCTTGTGAGTAGTTTTACCTTCAGGAGATATTTCGCTTTGTCATATTGATAATAAAATGTTGAAATTATCCCCCCGGTGTAAGTAAAGTGTGTTTCAGTGTAAATGTGACACCTGAGCTGGTTTAGTGTTTTGGGGGCTGCAGTCTGCTGCCTTCTGTTAGCGTGTGACAGCTGAACAGCCGTGAGCTGCTGTGAGGCAAATGGAGGAGTCATAAAGCTCTGCGGCAGCCTCGGCGTTCCCAGGTTCACACCTCCACACTGAGCTGTGGGAAGTCTGAGTGGAAGCACATTTAGGTCCCAAACCTCCCAGCCTGCACTCAGAAACGAGCCGCGGCTCAGATCAGTGCAAACGAAGCCAGACTTTGTGTTTGTGAACATTTCGACCACATCACGTGTTCTTCGTCGTCTGTCTGCCCTTTTATCTCCGCTCTTATGCGAGCTTTCTCAGATCGGGGAATCAAACGAGCAGCTCAGGGTCCAGTCTGGCCCACTGGAGCTTTTGCAGTGTCAAAAATGCAGCAAACTCTTGAATTCTTTCAGCTTTCTCAGAAAAACACAGCACAGTACCTGCTGAGGCGATGACAGCGTGGGTGGAGAGACTGTTGGAATGTCTGTAGATATGTGATCATTAAATGTGAACTTTTACTTCTTATGGAAGTTTGACTCCTGGAAGCCTCAGACGTTGAGTCATGGCAGTGAGTTTGGGATGAAAAATGAAGCTGTTATTAATCAGGTGGTCCTTCCATAATCTGATGGTTCTTTCTGTGTTTGTGAGTCCATCAGTTTTAACAAAGGTCTCCAACACCACTGGCTGACCTACAGCCCAAACCACGACAGAGCCTCCACCGCAGCTGGCTGCAGACTGACTGCTGAGCCTCTCTCCTGACCATGATGTGCACCCATTTCTCCATCAGACCCGTTCCTCTGATCTTCAGCCCAGTTCTTGTGTCATTTTCATATCTCCAGCCTTTCCTTCAGTTTCCTTTCATTAAGCACGGCTTCCTGACAGCTGCCCATCCACTGAGGCTTCAGTGAGCAGTAGATGATCGTCTCTCAGGTTCTGCTGTAGAGTTTTTATAAACAGGTGACCGTCACAGATTTGTTGTTTAATTAAAGTTAAACCTCCAACATTTGGAAGATGATCTTTGATGAGTCTTTTTTGTGGGTGCGTTTTTAGCATGAGCGTTTTTCATCATCTGGGAACATCTGGGAGTTCATTAACGGTTTAATCTCACGGTCTGAATGACGTCACCAGAAATGATCACAAACTGATCAGCTGTATTGATCTGTGAAAGAAAACCTATGGACCTGATGGTTTCTGTTTAAGATGGAAGCGCCACAACTTAAAAAGGACACACGCACACACACATGCACGTGGAGCGGCGGATTTGGGCGCGCGCTCGCTCACCTCACTGCCTGTTTGCAGGTGGGCACTCTCACAACATCATGTGCTCGTTGTGTCCACGTTTATTTTAAAGCAGCGGTCTCCAACCTTTTTTGCGCCACGGACCGGTTTATGCCCGACAATATTTTCACGGACCGGCCTTTAAGATAAATACAACAAAATAAAACTAGTACCGGTACCGAAAAAAAGAAAATTTATTCATAACACACGTGAAAAGACCCAGGAAAACGGAGTTAACGATAAAAACGATAACAAAATGACGCTGAAAACCCTGAAAACCACACATTTCACACCTGAGCCTCAACTCTCGCGGCCCGGTACCAAACAACTCACGGACCGGTACCGGTCCGGGGGTTGGGGACCGCTGGTTTAAAGCAAATCAGGACATTTCCAGCATTTCAAGCAGGAACCAGCAAATAGTCGGTGTCGGCATGATCACACCTTCCTGCATCAGTCAGCAGATGGAAGGAAGGGGGCTGATGCTCACCATTAAAATGGAAATGAACTTTCCATTTCTGGTGTGAAACGAGCCTCACCTGGCCGTCAAACACTAATCAGCTAGTTAACCAATCACAGGTCTCTGCAAATGAGTCTGAACTTCAGTCACATCGTTTCTGAGTTCAAATCCTCAGCGGTGGTGCACCGACGGAAAACTACATCAAATCTTGTCATCGTGGATCTCACGTCACGTGCACAGAGACGACAATCAAAGCTTCATTTTTACTGAGAACATTTCAGAAGAACAGATTGTTGCTGTTGTTATGAAATCATGCTTTTGTGTTCCTTTATGAATGTCGGTGCTACATTTAAGAACACAGCGTGCATTCGTGCTTTATGTGCATCAGTTTGCATCAGCAGGAAGTTAAATCTCAGACTTGGAGAACAGGACTGAGAATTGAAACAAGCTCCTGGATCCTGCAGATCTGGATCTGTGTCACGAGTCTGACAGAGCATCAAATGTGATGAGTTTGAGCTGAGGAGCCGTGCTGGCGGGTTGTTTTAATCACACTGAACTAAATGTAGAAAAACACTCATTTTTCTCTGCCGCTCATTATAAACGGACCGGTCATTAAATGTGAACTTTTCCGGGATGGTACTGGTTTCACACCAAAGTAAAAGAATCTGGAGCTATTTTTGTTATTATGCAGCAACTTGAGATTTCAGGGCCCACCTGTGGTTAAATGAACCGCCCCTGCTCTGTGAAGTCAGCCCGCGGTTTCCTTATTTAATCCTGTAATCTGTAAAAACAGACTTTTTAAACCACTCCATCCTCAGCAAACGGCAGCATGTGGGGGGGCTCATCACCCACTCTGGAGAAATGAAGATCTGCTTTAGTTTGTGTTTGACTTTCTATTTAATCTGTTTGCCTTAAACCCCGAGCAGCCCACAGCTCCCACTGCACAAACTGCAAGAAAGTGGAAAGTTACTGCTTCAATTATTTAAAGACGGCCGCCTCCCCTTTGCTAAGAGTCCAAAGTAGAGTTTATGAGAGGGATTTATTATGTCTAATATATTTCCAGTTGAGTCTGGCAGGACTCTGTGTGTATTTGCACTTTATGAGCAGTTAGGAGGGTCAAATATTTGGAATCTGAATGGCAAAGTGTTCCAAATATGCTATTTATACATTTATTCACACAGGAGTGTTCTGGGCTTCATCGCTGCCTGAAGTAAACACCAGGAAAACATGCAAAAATAACCCTGAGCCTACCCAGCACATAGCCTGGACCAATTCATACTTTTCAGTGATAATTTAACACGTATAATACATATAAAAACACAAATTACACCAAGCTGTCAGACAGCTTGGTGTAATTTGTTACCACCTGCATCTCACAGGTGGTACCTGTCCCGCCTCCACGGGACATAAACGTGCTGTGAAGAGAAAACATATTTACAGGTTCTGGGCACCACGGGGCTCCTGCTGTAACGCCAACAAAAAGCACATTTCTCACGTTCGGCCCAGCGCCGGTGTTGTGCCAAAAAGTGATTGTCTGCCAAAAACTGATTTCCAGTGTTTCTGTGTATTTTTTATGTGTAATATCTTTACGTATGTTCGTAAATAGACTTCGGTGAACAGGGGATACAAAGGGGTTACATAAAGAATTAAAAAATTATCTGTTTTTTAAGTATCTTTACAACTTGTACTTACATTATAACCAATCCGGTCCTTTATCCCCACTTAAAATATTTTTACAGAACTATTGTAATATTTGCTGCCATTTCTGCTGTGCTCTTGGCCAACTTACTCTTACAAAATACATTTTTAATGTTAATGAGATTTTTTTTTACTGCATAAATAAAGGTTATATAAAAGTCGCTGCCAAAAACTGATTGCGGCTTGTATCTTGCTACACGAATGTTGTTTGTGGCTCAAGATGACTTTATGTCATCCATAAGGGATGCATTTGACATATGTTTAACATATTATAGCCCAACAAGTTACTTATAGCACTTTAAATATGAGCAATCGCTTTTTGGCAAATACCGGAAATCAGTTTTTGGCAGACAATCACTTTTTGGCACAACACCGGCCTCATTTTCCGTACATTAAACGTATACAGCAGCGCTGCACATGTTCTATTAAAACTCGGCACGAAGGCTTCTGCGAAGCCCGAGGAGCAGCCAGAAGATCAAAAGCATCCCGGCCGTGTCCTCCTCTGTCCAACGCGCTCAATAACAGCGTGTTTCAGATGCATTTGTTAGAGGGAAGCATCCTGAACCAGCGGAATCTCATTAAAAGAGAGAAAATTCAAAGCTTGTAAACAGCGAAGGGAAAACTATAAAACCTAAAATGATTCACATTATGAGCCTGAAACGCCAAAGAGTCCACCGATTTACACTTTAAAAAGACCGAACAAAAACAGGAAAATCCACACATCACGCTGGTCGGTTTGATTTATTCTGGGTTTATTACCAATGGTGAGTTTACATCACATGCATATTGAGACGAATGATCTCTGGACTCGTTGCTCTGGAGAAAGAATAAAACTCAGAGGCCTCGGAGGGCGGCGATCGTCGGTTTATCTGCAGCAGATCTGACTGAAAGTCTTTTTTTCCTAAATGAGTGTAAAGCAGAAATGCAGCACGTCGTCCTCTTTGTAAAACACGCTGCTGTTTAAAGCCAAGAACGAGCCACCGCATCAGACTCGTGTACAGCGCTGTGCACAGGTCTTACGCCTCTCCTCTAATCTTTATATTCTGCAGGAAAATGAGAACCAAGTGCAGCGATTTATTGAAACACGGTCTCTATGAGGCAGAAACAGGTGACAGTATTTGAGTAGACACCTTTATTCTCCAGCACAGGCTGTAAAATCTCTCCAGGCTTCTTGAAGGACACGCAAAGCTCTTCTGTTCTTGTTCTGCTCTGCCGGGATGATCCCACACTGCTTCAGTAATGCTGCGCTGCAGGAGGCTCCACTGTGCGCTTTCACTGCGTTGGGATCATTGTCAGGCTTTGCAGAAGGATCAAATTCAGTCTGATGGTACTTTGTTAAAACTGATGAATCGAACGTCACTGACTGAAATCCAGACCCAGCCTCCACTGTGGCCTCACTGTTGGACCTCCTCTGTACATATCGCCAAAGATTTGGACTCATCGCTCCCTCTGACCTGTTGTTATCGAGTTTCAGTCCAGTTCTTGTGTAGTTTGGATGGTTCAGCTGAAGGCTCCGTGATTTTTAGGCTGAACACTTGTTGTTTTGTCCGCCACTTGTCCAGTTTCCTACATTTTTTAAGGACACACTGCACACCGTGCGAGATCCGCCAGGTTTTCTGCTAATAGTTCAGAGAATCCATTGTTGGTCCAAAAATGACATTTTATGACAAACTACTATCTTCAGGATTTTTCACAGATTCAACTAAAGAAACTAGAATAAATCATCGGTTTGTGTGACAGGCTGCTTTCATCAAAGATAAACTTTAAGATGGATTCTGGCAAGTCGTTATGTGCAGAGACATAACGACTTTACCTCGGAGCCTTTATGATGCCTGAGTGATGAGGTCAGAGTTAAATGGAAACAAAGAAAAACGTCTGAAAATGGTCAGGTACGAGGACTGGACTGGAAACAAGGGAAGACTGAAGGATCTTCAGAAAGCTGGAGGAGGATTCTTTGTGAAAAATGACAAGTCTGACTGCTTGGAAGCAAAATAGGGAGAAATGAGGGGTTGCTTAAGGCTACGTCCACACGTACACGGGTATTTTTGAAAACGGAGATTTTCCGTTTTCGTTTTAAAAAATAATCCCGTCCACACATAAAGGCAGAAATGAAGGAAAACGCTGCTATGAACATGCCAAAGCAGCAGGTGGCGCTAGATTCCTAACCGTGCAGAAATGTTGGCCAATCAGAAGTCTAGAAGCCTCGGTGGGAAAAAGTAAACAAAGCTGGGGCATAGAAGCAGAACCGAGTCGTATGTGTGGACGGACAGTAACTGTGTGTATATGTAAGCATTTAAACACTGCAGAGAGTAGAATTAACAGTATTGTAGAAATTCATTTCACCGAAACAATAACGTGGCGCACAGTGTGACGTCAAAAAATGCGCACACCTTTGACGCTGCGTTTTCTCCGTTTTTTTCGTCCACACGTAAATGCAAAAACGGAGTTTTCAAAAATATCCACCCTGGCCGGAGTTTTTAAAAATCTTCGTTTTCAGTGACCAAAAACGCCGTTTACGTGTGGACGGAAGGTGCAAACGCATAGAAAAATCTGCGTTTTCAAAAATGCCCGGGTACGTGTGGACGTAGCCTGAGACTTCTGCACAACTGTGTACAGCACAGGAACCAGGCGTGGCTCGGCATGCATCTTTGGTAGCTTCGTCACGTGAAGGTGATCTCTGTGGATCGATCACATGTTCAGTCAGGGTGGCAGGTCGGGTCAACACTTCAGGCTCTCTGACGTGTTCCTTGAGGTGCTCCCGAACACGTCTGCTGGTGGCCTAATATTGCCGAGCTATGCAAGCTAACGTGATCTAGTTTGATCTAATGAAGCCCTCATAGGACCAGACCAGGTGAGCCATCCCGAGCCAAACACTGTCGCCAAGATTTCCTCCACTCCTCCAACACAGTCTGTTGTTCTTCCTCAGAGTCACGCCTCACACACCAGGATGTGCTCACACAGACAGAACATCACAAGACCTCATCCCTCTCGCTGTTACGTCCTGGACGCATATTCGTCTACGCCACGGCGGCCGACGCCGCTTGGCGCTCTGACATATTCACCAAACTCTCATAAATGCTACTTATCGTTTATTTGCATCGTTATAAACAATATTCATGATGTGACGTTCGCCTCCAACAGCACAGTCTGAGACACACACACAGGAACAGAAAATAAAATACACATTCTCAAAGTGTGGCAGATGACAGCTGATCTCAGGTCAGATCCAGTGAGCGGCGATGCGACTGGAGCTGGAGTGGCGACGGCAGCGCTGATTCCCGATCAGCCTCCAACCACCAGCAACCAGAGTTTAGACCGACCTGGATCCTCTCCATCAGAAGCTTAAAAATGCATCAGGTGTCACAAAGATGAGGCCCCACCTCCACAAAAACCAGGAAGTGCAAGGCCAGTTAAAGTCCTAGCTCCGGTCCAGCGCAACAGCCCCGCCCACTGAGACGTCCGTGACGGCGGAGACCATTCGCCTGCAGCACACGGGTCTCTCTCCTCCTCTCTCTCACCTCACCTTGGACGAGTGATAGGTGGAAAGCGAGCAGGGGAGGGGGTGGGGCTCATTGCTGCTTGGAGCGCCAAAACCGCGAGGCGATGGAGCCGATCGAGAGTCCCTGTTTCTTCTGCTGGGAGAGCTCGGACAGACGCTGCTCCTCCTCCTGACGGGCAGAGAAAACAGAGTCAAAGCCATTCCAGGTGAAACCTGTGACAGGTGCGTTTGATTTCTCCTCCTACCTGTGCCAGCTGAGCCTGTCGGCGCTTGAAGGCCTCGATGGGGTCTTCCTCCAGCGCGTAGTTCTCCAACACCGAACGCACGTCGTCCACGCCGCTCATAGCGATGGCTGATGGAGAGGAGGAGACGGAGGAGGTGAAACAACAACAGACAGGAAACACGGGAAGGTCAACCAATCAAATATGAGCTAAGTGACAGTAGAGGGATGCACTGACGAACATAAGAAGCAGACGTCAACTACAAAAACAAATTAAGTTAAGGAACGGCTGGGTGACAGGACGGTCCCCGAACGCCTCGCCGTGCGTCTTACTCTTGAGGAAGTTGGCGAGGTCGTAGAGCGTTCGGTCCTCAGAGTTTCCGTCCCATTTCTTCAGAGCCAGGCCGTTGAAAGGCTGCAGGCTGAACGCCTCCCGCTTACAGTCCACCACGATGACCTTACTGCTGTCGCGGTTCAGACACGACACATCCTAAAAGAGACACACACACACGTTTACTCTCCTGCTGCAGATAAAATCACTAATTCGATGACTGATGAGGTAAACGCCTCCTCCATCACTCCAGCCCGACTAAAGTTGACACTGGTGATCTTTCATGCCTCATCAAATAAGAGACTCCATTACCTTAATGACCCTTAAGGTAACACTTGCTAGCCCCAGCTGGTGTGTGTGTGTGTGTGTGTGTGTGTGTGTGTGTGTGTGTGTGTGTGTGTGTGTGTGTGTGTGTGTGTGTGTGTGTGTGTGTATTCATATCTTTGTAGGGACCAAAAATTGGAAATCCTCACGAGTTTGAAGGTATTTTTCAGACTCAGGATGTGGTTTTAGTGTCAGGGTTACAACTGGGTTATGGTTGGGTTTAGGCTCAGGGTTAGGCATTCACTTTTGATGGTTAGGGTAAAGGGCGAGGGGAAGCATTATTTCAATTAGATGTCTCCACAAGAAATGAATACCCGACGTGTGTGTGAGTGAGACAGATGGAGAGGGACTGTCTGCGGCCCAATCATCCTCCACGTCCTCACAGCTGATGAAAGAAGGCCGCCGTTCTCCTTCACATTGTGTTTGTGTGAAGGAATCAAGCTGCCACTGAAGAATCGGACCTTCTCAGTCTTTTACGCCATTGTGGAGGAATTTTGGCCGCTCTTCTTTCCAGCATTGCTTCAGTTCATTGAGATTTGAACGGTGGATCTAAGCACAGCTCTCTGAAGGTGTCAGCAGGCTGAGCAGTCTGGACTTTTTCTTTTTCAGCCATTCTGTTGGAGATTTACTGCCTGGCTCAACTCAGCGACTGCAAAGTGCTTACATCGTCATCCCTCGTCCACCGGTCGGTATGAGGCGTTTGAACTGAGTTTGGATCTCTGCAGCTGAGGACAAACCTCTCCACCAGCTGGGGCAAGCCCTGGATGACCCGGGAGGTCAGGCAGCTGCTGAAGGAGAGGAACATTGCGTTCAGGTCTGGCAACAGGGATTACTACACCACAGCCCGATCCAACCTGAAGAGAGGCATCAGAGAGGCAAAGGGGGACTATAGGAGGAGGATCGAGGACCATTTGAAGAGTAATACCAGCCGGCAGGTGTGGCAAGGCATCCAGCACCTAACCAACTATAAGATCAATCTCGGAGCTGCGGACGGTGACCTGGAGCTGGTAGAGGAGCTGAATATCTTCTTTGCCCGCTTTGAGACCAGGGTACCGGAGGTATTGGAGCCACAGCAGCAACACGCCACCCATAGCAGCACCACCCTCACCCTGGAAGAGCACGAGGTGAGGCGCATGCTGCAGGCTGTTAACCCGAGGAAGGCGGCGGGTCCTGATGGTGTGCCAGGTCGAATATTGAGGGATTGTGCAGAACAGCTGGCTGGGATCTTCACCAGGATCTTCAACAAATCCCTCGCACAGGCGACTGTCCCACTCTGCCTGAAGTCCTCCACCATAGTCCCCTTGCCTAAGAAGCCCCACATCACCGGCCTGAATGACTACAGACCGGTGGCACTCACCCCAGTGGTAATGAAATGCTTTGAGAAGCTGGTCCGCAGACACATCACAGCAGCCCTGCCCCGCAGCCTGGATCCACACCAGTTTGCCTACAGAGCAAACCGATCCACGGAAGACGCTGTAGCCACAGCACTCCATGCTGCATTAACTCACCTGGAAGAGCATGGTAGCTATGTGCGGATGGTCTTCGTGGATTACTGCTCAGCTTTTAACACCATCCTTCCACACAAACTGGTGGCCAAGCTACAAGACCTGGGGCTTCCATACAGCACCTGCATGTGGATCAATAGCTTCCTCTCGGGCCGTAGACAGAGAGTCAGAGTTGGCCATCACACATCCTCAGCCCTGAGTCTCAGCACTGGCTCACCCCAGGGCTGTGTGCTCAGTCCACTGCTCTACTCTCTCTACACACACGACTGCACTCCTCGCCACCACAGCAACATCTTTGTGAAATTTGCAGATGACACCACAGTGGTGGGGCTCATTACCAAGGGAGACGAGTCTACGTACAGAGACGAGGTGGAGCAGCTGACGTCATGGTGTAAGGCCAATAACCTCCTCCTCAACACTTCAAAAACCAAAGAACTCATAATAGACTTCAGAAGGAAAAAGGCAGAGATCCAACCACTATTCATAAATGGGGACTGTGTAGAAAGGGTGGCAAGCTTCCGCTTCCTGGGAGTCAATATAGAGGAGAACCTTTCCTGGAGTGTGAACACCTCCGAGCTGCTGAAAAAGGCCCAACAGAGACTGTACTTCCTGAGAATTCTCAGGAGGAATAACATCACACAGAGACTGCTGGTGTCCTTCTACAGAGCCACCATTGAGAGTGTTCTAACTTACTGCATATGCATCTGGTACACTAGCTGCACAGGGGCTCAGAGGAAAGCACTCCAAGGGATCATTAACACCGCCCAAAAGATCACTGGCTGCCCTCTCCCCACACTGGAAGTTCTACACAACGCCCACTGTTTTAAAAAGGCCCAAAACATCATAAAAGACACCTCACATCCTGGCCACTCCCTGTTCGAACTGTTGCCCTCAGGCAGACGGTACAGGGCAATCAGAGCAAGGACTAATAGACTCAAACACAGCTGTTATCCAACTGCAATAACACATCTGAATACTACAAAAAAATGTCCATCACGCCACTCTTGTGTTAATCTATGCACGGCCTGAAGCATGTGTGTGGGAATGTATGTGAATGTTTTACTGTTATATCTTATTAGTATTTTAAGTATTCTATCTATTTTATTTATTGAATTTTATTGTTTTATTTATATTTTGATATTGCTAGGGATGATGCAATGATCGGGGACCATTCTTAATTTCGTTGTTCTCATGACAATGACAATAAAGTTTCTGATTCTGATTCTGACATTGGTATCATCCATTTGAAGGACGCTGTTACAGATGTGGTTTATTGAGCCTTTGTAAACCTCAGTTAAGGAAATGGCCTCGTAGCCCTCCCTCAGCAGACGCTTCTCTAAGATCACTGCTGATTGCAGACCTGCAAACTGCCCAAACCTTTGCTTTTATAGGGAAGCTTGAGCTTTCAGATGATCGGTTAATCAGTGCATTTGATAGTCGACACCTGGCTGCTCCTTTCCCTCTTCCACATATTGTTTGTGCATTTGAAGCGCCTTGAGGCGACTTTTGTTGTGATTTGGCGCTATATAAATAAAATTGAATTGAACATTTCGTCTTCGTTTCAGGTACATGAATAATGACTATGAATATAAGTGACGTAGAGAAGATGCAATAGAGCAACATGGCGTGGACGTCTGACAACGACGGTCTCTGATCTTAATTAGAGCTCTTATGATGCCATGTGACCAATAAAAGCCGTCCGAAGCCTGTCATGTTGAATGTTCTAAATACGCGTCGATTCAAACTGTGAAACACTGGCTTCACTCTAGAACAGCAGCTGGACGGGACTAAAGCAGGACTTTGCTCCAGGTTGGGGGTTAACTCTAACACACACAGAGTTACGTCAATGAAAGGTCGCGCCCCGACAACTTCCCCGGCACCGCACTTCTCCGTCTTTGTATGAAAATTCCTCTCGTCAAATCTGCCGTGCGATGTTATTGGCAGGCGCCATCTGTGGCTGCCCTCTCCGTTGGGAGATTAGAAATAGGAATGACATCTACTGCTGTGCAGCGTCCAGCAGAGGAAACTTTGCCGTCACAGAAGCTCACGAACACCAGCGTGACTCCCTCCTGCGAGACCCTCGGCTCATGTTCTCAGCAAATTGGGCAGCAGCATTTTTACAGAGTCGGTGAAGTGCTAAGAAATGCTGCACACACTCACAAATACAGTTTAGGTAAATGTATTATGTACTGTACTGCAAGCTGACAGTAAGATTCTACTTATCCCAATCATATCAGAGCCTGACTCCGCCCACTGCATGGTCTTGAAAAAGACCAAAACATTTATTTGGGTCATTTCGAGCTGGATGGCTCCTCCTCTCCAACATCTTCCCCCTCTGATGTCTTGGAGCACTGCAGTAGTTGGCAGATGCATCAGTTTGAGGAGTCCGCTTGTCCTGTTATTGATGGACCAGCATGCAGTCTGTAACAGTGGGGCCAATACATAAGGTATACCGGGTTGAACCTTCTTTTTCCTTCACAGCCGTTTTAATTCTTCATGTCTCAGATTCCTCGACATGACTGTGTCACACAGCTGCTGCACGTCTATGACCTCCCACTCCACTACATCAAAAAAAAAAAAAAAAAAAGACTACCGTATTTTCACGACCATAAGGCGCACTTAAAAGTCTTGGATTTTCTTCAAAAAGTGCGGCGCGCCCTATAGCGCGGTGCGCCCTATGTGTTGTAAGGAGGACGTAGTAGAGAACACCATGAGAACGTTAAAGGGTGAAGTGTGGGCGTTGATCGTATATACCGGGACAATCGCACATACCTGTATAAAAGAACAGGTATGTGCATTATGCAGGACATCGTTGTTTTAACAACCCTGAAAATGGCAAAGAGACACGCTTACGAAGCACAGTTTAAACTGAAGGCCATCAGCTACGCGGAGGAACATGGAAATCGAGCAGCGGCGAGAGAATTTAAGATTAACGAATCGATGGTTCGCAAATGAAGGAAGCTGGAAAACAAGCTCCGGCAGGTCAAGAAAACGCAGCTGAGTTTCCGCGGACATAAGGCGAGGTGGCTCGAGTTGGAGGAAAGACTCGAGCGGTGGATCATCGAGCAAAGAGCGAGCGGGAGAAGCGTTTCGACGGTCACCATTAGGCTAAAAGCAGTTTCACTAGCTGAAGAGATGAACATTGAACATTTCCAAGGAGGTCCGTCTTGGTGCTTTCGTTTTATGAAACAGTGCCATTTTTCCATCAGGACCGGGACTACGGTAGCGCAGCAACTTCCAGCGGATTATAAGGAAAAGCTGGCCATCTTCAGCTCCTACTGCAGCAAACACATCGGCGACAAAGACATCCAGCCCAGCCACATCACTAAC